CCACAATCCCAGTCACTGGAACGCTGGCCTCACTGGAGAAGCCACCCGTTTGGCACCTCTCTCCTTCAGCCCGTGGCAGTGGCACGGTGCTGTACCCAGCCTGGGCTCTGGCCTCTGCTCCGTCGTCCCTCTGGCTGTGTATCCCCTGTTTCTCCGGGGCTTACATGCTTCCTGGTCTGGCTGGATGTCTTCCAGGAGGATCACTTCCCAGTCCATCAGGGAGACACGTTCTGAAGATCCCTGTCATGACTGTTTCTCTCTGCAAACCTGCTTGGGTTTGCCCCGATTTCCAACGGGGGAGGGGGAGCTTTAGGGCACCTGCTGGGGACTCAGGACACCGCTTCGGATCCGATAATGGACCCTCTGGGTGAGAAAGGATGGGCTGAGCACATCTCCAGAGGCAGGCAGGGTCTCACTGCATCCCACAATCATCCCACAGGCCTTAAGGCCTGCTGTCAACTGAAAGTTCACGGACCTATCTGAGCCCTCTGCCTCCCTCCTCCTTTGAAAGACAGGCCCTTGTCTTCTGGGACAGGTGCTGTCGCATTTCCTCTGCACACCCAGTCTCATTCTTGAGAAGGCGACTCCCTCTGCTCCTGGGTGGACTGGCCCCCTGAAACTTTTGGCCCGCTGCTAGATCCCAGGCATTCTTTGATGTTCCCTGGCATTCATGGAAATGTCACCTGTGCCCTCCTTCCACCGGGCACATGCCTGGACAGCATTGTTTCCTTCGCCATCGCCCCGTGGGCCCTCAGTGACACACGTTCACACCATCTTCTCTAGGCTACGCCAGTGCCACATATTGGCTCCACCTCGGATTCACCCCTGGACCTGTTGACACGTGTCCTGGAAAGCGCAATCAGCTTGAAGAAGCCCCAGGGCCTTGAGAATCACGGCAGGTCACCGTTCTTTGAAAGGAGGGAGGCAGGGGGTTCACGGGTCAGTGAACTTTCAGCTGACTCCACGCCTTGAGGCCCATGGGATGATTCTGGGCTGCAGCCAGGCCCTGCCTGCCTCAATCGATGTGCTCAGCCCACCCATTCTCACTCGGAGGTGTTCAGAATCGGATCTGATGGGGCGTCGTGACATGACCCCAGCAGGCGCCCTGAAGCTCCCCCTCTCTCGGTGGAAACCGGCTCAAGGAGGTCCTGAAGACGGGACTCCTCATTATTCACGTCTAATTATCTCAGGAGACATTAACACAGCAATTTTGAAACTTTCCCATTAATTTTTAATCCATGGAGGAAATTGGACAATTTTTTTAAATATGAAAAGCTTCATATAATACAAATTGCACTCCCACATGTGATTCAATTTCTATTCATTAATGTCAGAGAAGTTAATAATTACGAATTGCCAGTGGTAAAAAATAAATAAATCATTCATCATTGAAGAATCGGAGAACGGTTAAAGAGACAAGAATTTGTTATAGGCTTTGGGTCATTTTATGTTTTCCAAAGTGTTTTGCTTTTTTTTTTTTTTTTTTTTATGCTCATGGCTTTCTTTATTTCTCTTGCTTAGAAGTGGTGAGGGAACTTTGGATGCGGAACGTGGAGGACGAGTAACACGAAGTGGGGGCTGCACTTGGTCAGCATTGCGGGTGCCCACCAAAGGCACTGCTGGTCCACATCCCGGAGGTGTCTCTGACCCCAGTCAGCTTCGCAGCTGATGATGAAAGTTTTGGCATGGCAGAAGAGTCTCCACAAACTTTGGAAGGTGTCTGCTGCATCCTCTATAGCCGTGTATCCCTGCTGAG